ATGTGACTCTAGCATTAGAAATAAAAAAAAAATTATCAGGCACAAGGATTTTTTAATTTTAAATTGAGAACGAAAACAATCCATCTTCGAGTTTGTAACGACTCACAGTCAACACAGCGCGATGCAATAAAAATCGTGAAAACAAAACAATAATAGGTAGTGAAAATGAGAAAGTTAAAAAACTACTTACATTCATTTTGTTAAGTTTCCAATATATTCCTCAGATTAACATGAAATAAACACTAGACACTTTCTTTTAAAGAATTTTATAACTATGTTTGTAATACGGAACCGGTTTTAATTTTGTAAAGTAGCGCGCATGCGCGCGGTATGATGGCGGGCTGGCGACTGGCGCGCGACCGCTTAAAAAATATAACTTTCTCGACCGACCGCGTTTTTAGACCGCCTATTGGTTGCTAGGAATTAAGTGATGTTGATTGCTTGCATAATTACTCACTTTTTGATGGATATTAGTCATTAATATTGTATTTGTTTTGACAAGGTTATTGACCTTAATAAGGCAGGAAATTAAGATTTCCTTTTGTCCGACACACAATGTCCTTAGCAAAAAGTCTCGGTTTTCATAATGTTATTAGGTTAAAATTTTTTGTAATCCTATTTTTTCTCACATTCTGATTAAACACAGTGTAAAGTTTTAGTAGGTACTGTGATTGGGCAATAGGGAGAGCTTGCAGCCAGCCAATTTTTGGCGCCTGTTATTTTACAATAGGTATTGGATACCTATTCGAAATTTGAATCTGAAAAATATCTCCCTTTATAGTTTAATTCCTAATTCTATTACCCAATTTCAATTAATGTTATTTTCTTGCTCGTTCTTCTCCATTCGGATCTACAATTTGGATCGAGCATCTAGCTTCACTGACGAACAGACTGACTATCTACTTATTCTATTTTGACGTTTCAAAAGTATGGTTTAGTTGGAATAAATGATTTTGGCTTGGACTTGTTCTAGAAACCAACGCACACTCTGCGAGCATTGCACCTATCATCACCACCATTAGATACCAACGTCAGAAGTAACAAAAATCAAACAATCAGTCCTCACGCAGAGGTCAACAAAACCGCACGTCACGATAAAATTCACTGCTTTATTGGATTTTCGACCTTATGAGCCTCCACACCGGACTCTAAAGGGTTTTTTTTGTGAGGGGAAAATCATCAAATGACTTCTCCCGCCCAGGGCCGGGCGAGAGGGAGAGTCAGACTCTTACTGACTAAAAACCTGTTCCTTCACCTGCTCTGGGCGGAGGTCACGGTGACTCATTGCGCTTACCCCGCAACCCCGGCTGAACCTCTAAAGAGTTGCTATGCAACAAGATTCCTCTCTATTTTTCTTGATAGATCGGCAAACGAGCATCCCTAATACCTAGCTGATGGTAAGCAAATCGGCGCCGTCCAAGTACATTGCAATACCGGAGATGTTACGGGTGCATTGCCAGCCTTTTGGGGATTAAAGTTTTAGAGATTTAGGGATTGAGGAGGGATGGGAGACGGTAATTATTAGCAATAATTCCCGTCCAAACCAAGCCAACGTTATTATGTACGAAGTATCGAAACCAAAGTTTTTCAACAAACAAACAAAAAAAAAGAATTATCGGAATCCTTCTGGCCATAGATAGGTACATTTTTATTTCTTAAATCATTCGATAACTACTTCATGATAGATCTGTTCTTGAATTAAGCGTTACGTGAGACCATACTTCTTACCTACTTTAATCTCAATTAATTTCAACGCATTCACACGAAAATGTACGTACCTACTGTAACACGAAACTGCATCATACAAGAATTTAAATAATAAGAAACAAACTGACATGCGTTATCTCAATTTGCAAACCAATCTCAACCAGTGAGCAGTTATTAAGAAGTGGATTTCCTCCAACCTGCTTTTGTAAATGAATTAATTTATCAAATCCCAATTAATGCGCACCAATGTATTGTCTTTCTACTACTACAAGACTTAGATACGTTAGGCCTAGCCTACATAGGTACGTAATCAAAAAAATATACCTATATTTAAGTAATTTCTTTGCACGACGTTATCCGAATTGCAGAATTTCGCCAAAGAACTAAAGTTACCGACTTAGCTCGTAAAATCTGCAAGCTAAAGTAGCAATGGGCCACATCGTTCGAAGAACTGACTGCCGATACACCTGGAACATATTCGAGTGGCGACAAGGGACAGGAAAACTTTGAATGGGCAGGCCTCCTGCTAGTTGGACCTTGGACCGACGACATGGTCAGAGTCGCGGGGAGCCAATGGATGCGCAAGTTCGACGTGGCGTACTTACTGAGGGACACAACATTTTTTACCTTATTATTTCCGTACGTAACGTAAAGTAGACGCAATAAAGAAGATATTTTGGCAGGCGAAAAGGGGGCATTGTCTCCTTTCTTGGATACTCTTACTAATTGGCATTTCGGTAAGTTCAAGGACCTATTTAGATACCATTATTTTTAATCTAGATTGTGTTGGCATGAGGTGATGTTTTAGAGTCGCTAGAAATCTTTTTTAATTTATTTTTAAGTAGGTAGGTATGTAATAAGTACACTACCGAAATAGATACGTAGACATGTCATGTAAGAAGACGTTCTCATTAGATGCGGTACGGCCAGCTGGGGTTGCGGGTGTAATGTAAACGCAATAATATATCACGGCCCCGCTACGGACCGGGAGAACTAAGCGCGTTTTTAAGTCAGTCTAATTAATTTGTTGCAATTCCTACAGTCCAACACTACAGGAGGTAGAAGGAACCGACTTAAATAAAAGGCATAGTCATGTGAAGACTACACAGGTTTTGGCCTTCTCTCCTTACGATGAGCTCATCCAATCCATTCCTGAGCAAGTATAGGGCTTTAAACTCAAGCGGAGTATCTGACAAATAAAAATCGCACGAGGCGTTTTGACGAGGTAATTCGAAGGGTCTACCACTATTACAAAACCCTGTTTTGAAGATAAGGCCAGTGGATTTTCACAGGTTGTTGACTACGAGTACCCAATAAAAAGGCTTGTAAAATCTTCGACAGGACATGGTTCATTGACCGGCTTTACGTCAAATGGAGCGAGACTAGTTAGCTATATAAAATGACCGTTTTGCAATGCCAAATACCTAGGTACCTAATTAGGTAAGGTATAACTCAAGATAAAATGTTGTTTTTAGAGCTTAATATTTGGATAGATCATGACTGTGAATTTATTTTACATAGTTTAATACATATTTATTTACAAATAACTAGTAAATGCTTCTTCCATTTATATGTATTTTATTCAGTATCATAAACAAGTTTGGAAAATCAGTAGAAAATTAACTGTCGGTTTTAAGTGCCCACTGCTGAGCAAAGGCTTTCTTCTCACACGGAGAAGGTTTGAGCATTATCAACCACGCTTGCTCAACGCGGACTGACAATTTCAAACTTATAATTCGAAATTATAAGCCCAGGTAAGTAGCCGGGGTAAACCAGGAGAAGGAACTGATGGTCAGTCAGTCTGACACTCCCTCCGGCCCCATTCTGTTTTGATATTTATACCAACATAATGATGTCTGTTCACTACAAAATTAATTATAATTCTATTGTACCTACCTACGATGTCTGTTGGGCGTAAATCCAACAAATAGTAGAAACTTGTATGGTATATTGGTTAAAATGGTTACGGTTATTGGTATGAGCAAACGCGGCTTGGTTGGTGATCGAAATTTAACTAACTTTACATTACAATAATGTTAATAATATTAACACTAAAGGTGCTGGTAGGGGTCTTGACTGTACTTCCGGGATTGCTCTGATAGCCGTGGGATGCCTCTCCTTCCCCAAGCAGCTCAACGTATGTTGCCCCCGTGTCGCTACATGCTAGCGGCCGTTTCCGGGGGCCCATTAATTGAGTTTGCCAGTCACCCCCTGCCTGTTTATCCGTATGTATCAATATTGGTCAGGGGCAGGGGCCATAGTATTTCCATTGTTTTCATCCACTAGTGCATAGCAACCCATACCCATAACCCTATTAATTGTTACCACATTTTACAATAGTCCTGCATCAACCGGGGATTGTCCTTGGGTGCACTTTTATAGTGCATACAGGGATAATTGCCGGCTGACGTCCCATCACATTTAGATTAAAATTGTTCAACGGGCCTCTGCGAGTTGGCTTCGGCTCCTCGTATGCCTTCCAAAGGTCCGGGACCCTGTGGTCCCGTGAAAGGAAAGAATTAACACTAAATGTTTGGGTCAGTGTGGAACTGCTGACTGCGCGCGCGGTTGACATCAACAAACTGTACTTTGTACAATGTCTCTGGGGGACACCCGAGTTTGGCGATCTGTAGCACAGGTTCTACCTCTAACACAGACACAGACTCTACCTAAACAATTTGCAAATTGTAGTGTTTAAGAGAAAATAAAGATATTTTATTGTGTGTTACTACTCCCGATCTGAGTGGGGTTAAACGGAATATCAAACTGTTCTTGACTAAAAACCATCCGTTCCTTCTCGTACTTCGAGCCTTTTTGCGCTTGACCCGCAACCACGGCTGAAAGCAGCCTTATTGGGTAGTGGTGGTCTGTTGGAATGCTGGCTCTCGCAAAATGCTACGCGCCGTAAGGTCGACGTAGCGAGCGTCCGCAGATACTTACACGTTTTTTTGTTTTGCCTCGCATTATTTTATTTTATGTCGTGGGTGCGTTTAATAACCTACATTTTCACACACACATCACACCCAGATCCGGACCAAAAATGTGTGAATCACAGTGTTGTTCTGTGCGGACATCGAACACGGGACACGTTGCACAGCACCCAGTTGCCTAGCTACTGCGCCAACCATGCAGTCTATTTGACTATTTGTCCAATAGACTAACTAAAATCTATTTTTGACTGTTTTTCTCAATTTTTACACTCTCGGCCTAGAACTATTGGGGTTCTATCTAAATAAACAAAACCAATCCCAAGTCAATGATTTATTAGTTAAACAAATTGAAATAGGCAAGCGCTAACTACAAGTTTATAATTAACTGTTGCAATTAGGCACTGGTTGTTATATATTCAGTAAAACTGTAAGACACTGCTTTTGTTAATATATATATATTTAAATCTTTGCTATTGTCTATTATGTTGCGTAAAGGTTTGTTATGGTTTAGGCTATAACACAAGAGCAATATTACGTTAATACTTGTTAATATTATAATGTCACTTTTTAGTAGAAAGCTTCATCAAAATCTATCAAGCTATTTAGGAATAATAGGCTGATAAACAAATCTTTTACGGTGTTAGGTAAAGATGTCCTTAAAGTACTTGTGTTTTAGTCTAAACGAGAGAGCAATTTGATTAAATATCCCAAGATAGCATTGGGAAAACATTACTAAGCAAGAAAACGAGAGAATTCCATCCGCGTCCACAGTTCACATCTAAATACACAAGAAATAAAACGTATAAGTAAAAAGCAAAACATATTGTAGAAATATTATATTTTGAATACAAACTCTACTCGAAACAAAGTGATCAAGTTCACAAAATATTGAAAAAAGTAACAAAGAACTTATGTCAAGTTTTTAAGCCTGAATAGGGCACGGATTCGCATCCTCTCGTGCTTACAGTAAATACGCCCATATCCCGTACAACATAAGTATTACATTGGCGCTATAGACTAGCGCTTTGAAAAAATAATATACGTAACTTAAATGTGACAAAAATCGAGTTCAGCAATTTTAAAAAGTAACAAATGAACCAGCATTTTAGAGGAAAATGTAACTTAATGGATTACATTTAAGTGTCATAATACCTGTTGGTATGTGATGTTTACTTATATAAATTTAGTTCCCAATTTCTAATCTTTTTATAATATTTAAAAGCTAAAGTAAAGTCCTGCTTTCTGTGAGGGAATAGGGGTTAAGAAAGTTCTAGAAAAAGGGTTTACATAGACATTACTGCTGAACTCTCGAGAAAATAAAACGTTATACATAATTACAGTAAAATATATGGTGTTAATAGTTGGGATCTGTGTTGTATCAACGTCTGGAGTTAACGGTTTGCCAGTCATCACCATCCGGGTCCCGAGCTGGAAAAAAAGGTATATTTTGAAGATTGGTAGTCCAGTTATATGGTATAGGTCGTTCCACAAAGACTTAGCTTAGCTCAAACTAAATGTAAAGAATGAGGTGAATATATGGATACAATCTGAATGCATATGTAGTAGTATTTAATCTAACTACGCAACGAATTTGGATGTATCTTTTAAAAGATAAGAGTGATTAAAGATTAAGGTTTATAGGACATAATGACATCTATTAAATGTTATATAAATTTTGCGGGTCGCTAGTAAATTATAATGAATACTTACGTTTCTCCTCCCGGCGTGGGGGCGCGCGGCGCGGTCCGTCGCGGTCACGGTCGTCACGGCGCGGTCCGTCCCGATCGCGGTCATCGCGGCGTGGACCGTCCCTGTCACGATCGTCGCGGCGCGGTCCGTCTCTGTCACGATCATCGCGGCGCGGCCCGTCGCGGTCGTCTCGGCGTGGCCCGTCGCTGTTTTAACATCATTGATTATATTATCATCATCGTCAGAAAACTTATACATTGATTTCTTATGTACGTTTCTCTAGAAATAGGAATTTTAGTTTTACTCTCGTAACTTATTCTTTACTGTAAGCATAACTGGCGCATCAAAAATGTCAGCTGCATATTTCAGGCTTTAGTTGCAGTAGTTATTTTAATACTGCATAAAATCAGGTTAATATTCAAAATTGATATAAGGCAAGTGATATCATCGTTTTAAATGATACACCTTTTTCATCGCTGTATCAGCCTCAGTAATATAGAAATGCGGGTGACGTCTAAATATTTTTGTGCACAAAGCTTAGATTAATAAATAAATAAAAATTGTTTTCAAAACTCACCGGTCGTCTCTCCTAGCCGGGAATCGGTCGCGGTCACGGAACCCACCCTCGCGATCACGGTCGCGCGGTGCGTCGCGGTAACGATCCTCACGGGGCGGGCCGTCCTTAGAACGCCAGGTGGATGAGCGTTCCTGTTCACATAGAAATTATTAAAGTCACAATGGTACTTGCTACGTTTCAAAGGTCGAAAGTCCTTGTTTTTGTAGGTGGTACTTACAGAAGGTGCTGGTGGTGGGTCCGCAGGTCCACGTCGCCAGCTGCCACCCTCCGGACCACTGGAGCGGCCGCCGTAACGAGGCCTGGGGAAACAAAAATCAAATAAGTATTGCTTTGTAATTCAAAGCGTTTCTTCATTAGCAAACTTCTTAAAACGGTACGGTACCAATTACCGTACGCAATTTGTGTGAAAAGAGTCGTAAGTAAGAAATTATCTTCACAACATAGTCTATTTTAGATTAACGAACCTGTCCCTGTCGGGCTCCCTGTTGGGCTCCCTGTTACTGGACCTCCAGGCGCCCTCGTCTCTCGGCCTATCGTCTCTCGGGCCGCGGTCGTCGCGAGCAGGACGGTCGTCTCTAGGCCTGTCGTCACGTCTACAATTATTAAAAAAGGGAATAAATACGCCGCTCATGAGTAAAGCGTGACTCTTGTGTTTTTAAATTAACAGAGCTTTTCTTAGTTACTTCACGCGAGTATAGCTTTAAATTAAATGTAATTTACCTTACGATAGTTTTTACACATAAAAAGTATAAAGAACACTTAAAGCATTAAGAAGTGTTATAGTACAATATATGTTATTCACTATTTATTTGCTTAGCTGGCTAGTAGCGTTATTGGTTTTTTCTCCAAGTTGGTGGGACATCGCCTCAACAGAATGTGGTTATTACAAATATATTTCATATCTTACCTGTCGTCTCTAAGCGGAGGTCTTTCATCCCTGGCAGGTCTGTCGTCCCGAGCAGGGGGACGGTCGTCGCGGGGCGCGCGCCTGTCCGGAGTTCGAGGGCGCTCGTCGCGGGGACCTGCCGCGTCACGGGCTGCGCGACCTAGTGGAACATCACATCACAGTATTACAACATATAAATAAATACTTTATTCTTGTCTTCTAACCAGTCAAGATATATATATTTTGTGTATTTAGAGGATATCCTATTCACGTTTATCAAACCCAACGACGAATAAAACTCAATGGAGAAACATTATCCAAATTATTTCATCAAACTATCTTTGCTTACATAGGTTAGGTAGCAACAACTAAAATCAAAGTTGGCAGAATAATTAGACGTAACGAACGTCTCGCGTTTAAAAATTTAATAAGATACTTACTGGACCGCCAAGTATCACCAGGTACTGGTTTCTTTTCATCCTTGATGTCACCCGATGGTTTCGACCTCCAGCCGTCGTCCCTGGCGGGAGCGGGGCGGGCGGATCCGCCGTCTCTCCAGCTAGAGGTGGCCTGTGCTTTCTGTTCTTCCAACTTGCGCTGAATCTCAGCCTCCTTGGCTCTGATCTTAGCTTCAGTACGTGCCAACATTTCTTGATGTTCTCTGTGAGAACAAACCATTTTATTAATTCAGATGACTTGGTTAAGAATTATAGAAACTCACAATACTTAATAGTAAAGTAATACGAGAAATACGTGTCAGAAATGATGTCTTTTATTCTTGTAGCGTGGGTAGAATAATGAAATAAGTCACATCCCAGATCCGAAATAATATTTTCTGGAATATACAATGACTTATTTCGTACCGGAATCGGAATCGTATCAGTTTCGCTACAGTACGACCTAAGCAGTTGTTTTTTTATGAATTTCGATACAAAACAACTAAATTATAACAGTGACTTCAAGCTCTATATCATAACAAACAAAGGTTAAAACCAACCTGTTTTCTTTCTCCTTCCTCTCTCTTGCGGCGGCCAGTTCTTCAGCGTGTTTCTTCTCTCTCTCCTCTCTCTCTTCTCTTTCCTTGCGTTCCTCCTCCTCCTTGATACGCCTTGCTTCTTCTTCCTCTGCACGACGTTTCTCGGCGAGCCACTGTTTAGGAGATAGATAGATTAATTATATTATAAAAGAATTTATGTTTGTCTTTTGAGCTTTATAACTGGCTTGTGGTGAGTTTTAATGTTGGATATGATTGTTGACGGTCTCGAAGACGTAAAAATAAAGCGAAATTTAAATAAACAACCGGAAACGCGCTTGTTTTTATTAGTGTTGCAGTATGTGGGCTATTGTGATATGTCCCTATTTTAGTGTCTTAGTCTATGTGTTTTTCTTATGTCGTCGGCAAACGAGCAAATGGTTTACCGAATTCTTTCATTTTAGGACAAAAGTTATCAATTCTTCTTATAGTATATGTATCAGTTTAATTTATAAGTAGTGAGTACATACCTCCTGCCTTCTCTTCTCAATGCGCTGCAGTCTCCGTTCAGCGAGGCGTTTCTCCCGTTCGGCCTGCAGTTTCTCCTTGAAGGCGGCCAGTCTCTGCGTGTGGGCGGCGCCGCGCTCGCTGCGCAGCTTCACCGTGAACTGCTCGCGGTGCGCCGCCATGCGGGACAGCCGCGCCGCCGTGTTCACGTCGCGGGCACGGGCCTCTGTTCACGACAAAAGTTATCAGAATATAGAGTCTATTAAATATTTAATTATAAAGTAGACCAGGGGTTAAGACACCCCGCTTCTCATGCATGAGGGCACTAGTTTGAAACTTGACAAGTACTAATGTGACTTATTCCGAGTTATGTCATGTAATTTTTAAGCTTATTTAGACACCACTTGCAATCGGTTAAGGAAAATATCGTGAGGAAACTTGTCGGAAAAGAAATAAAAAATCGGACAACACTTTTTTTGCATTTATCGAGGTACCTAAAAACAATGAAATCATAGTGGAAGTAGCAACCCTTTCCACGCGTGACGGTACGCTAACAAAACAAATGGTATTTGAACTCTGGTACAAAAAGGGGCGGACTGTTTATAAATAAATAAATCTTTACAGTACGCAAATATGTAAATTCTCTAGTGTGGATACATTTTCTACATACACGCAAGTTCAATATAATAAAGTTTAAACAAAACAATTATAATAATGTAATGTTGTTCACTCACCAATAAGTTGTTGGATGCGCTCTTTCTCTTGAGTCTCCCAGAATGCCTTGTCCTGCACCTGCTTCTCTTCCAAGCTCTTTTGCAGCAGGGGAATCTCCTCCAGGCGCTTGGCACGCTCAAAGTAATCCACCTTTATAAAGCAAACAAATTAATAAGTTGCTTAGTAAAAATCCTGTTGCATTTTTAGTATAATTGAAGTGACTAATGCCCGGTTCCTATAATTGAGAAACGATCCGTTTTAGTTACGAATAGCAGTTTTATATACGACTCGTAAGCTAAAACCGTTCCTATAACAAACTTCTCGTCGTGCAACTTACTGACGGTTTGCAACTAATGGATGTCGGTAAGCGAATTGTATGGAGATCTATGGTGTCTGTGGTGTTCCTATAAATATTTTAACCGTCAGTAGACGGTCAAGATAACTATTCGTAATGTCATTTGGTCGTAATGCGTATACAACGACGATTCGTTAAATATAGGAACCGGGCATGAATGTTCTTTGTTGAGTATTTTCAAATATGATCTTTATGGTTTGTTTTGTAAGCTTCAACTTGCAATGCATGTATTATGTATTAACTTATAATGTTAAGCAGCAATTACCTTCTTCTCCTGCGACTTCAGCCTAGCCTGCAGTTCACGGCGTTCCTTCATCAGCTCTTCAGCTTCACGGGCAGCGATAGCTTCAGCGTCCATCTTTTTGAGTTCCTGTTCAATAAGAAAAAGAGATATTTATAACAATTTCTTGATTTAGCAAGTTTTGATGATACATAATATACCCAGATTCAGATCAGGAAAGAATTTATTGTTTGGACTACTTGACCAATTTGAATGTTTTTTCACTACTGGGAAGTTATCCCAGTTGGACATGGTTACAAACTACGCAAGTAAATTCTCGTTGCACAGCTAATTACTACATTTTCTCACACAAAATAAGTGTTTGGAGAAGAATATAGGGTAATGCAGTCAAAACCTCTGCAATTGACATAGAACAAGGAACGAACCTCCTCATTGATGTTAGACAGCATCTTCTGTCCATGCGTGGTCTGGCTGATATGCGCGACTCGCTCCCTGAGATGTCGCTCCCGCATGGCGGCCAGCTCGGACTCAGCGCGGCGTCGCTCGCGTTCTTCTCTCTCCGCTTCCAAACGACGGGCCTCGGCCGCGGCAGCCGCGCGCGATTGTTCCTCTTGACGTCTAAGGAATACATTTTTATTTATACTTGTGTTAGGGATTGGTTTGCCCATGTTAGGAACAATTCATTCATTTGTTTGATGTAAGTAACAGATTTTTTATTGAACAAATTGTTTTTAGTTTAAATTGTGCTTTAAACGCAATTTATCAGTGGAAAAGTTGCTATAAAGAGTGGTCTATAAGTGATTATGAACACACATAACAGGTGAACAACATGGACATGGACTGATTATAAAATAGTAATTATGTATTAAATCCCTCATCAATTCACTTATTAACCATCGATAGACCATTGAATATAGACATTTAACTAAGTTAATAGTTCTGTTAAAAACTTTTTATAGAATACACATAGGACACACTAGCAAGTTCTTCCTATGTCATAGATGAGTTTTTAAACACAATTTTTTATATACCACCACACCCAGAACAAAAATATATAGATAGACTAGACAAGAATTTGTTCAATTGTTTTAGCCAGCTATCGCACCAATAAGTGAAGTCAATAAAACAAGTGGCATGGATATTAGCAAAGCTGCAGACCTGAGTTCCTCCTCCTCGCGCACGGTGTTGAGTCGCTCGATGTACTCCTTCCTCTCCTCGATGATCTTGTGTCGCTGCAGCACGCGATGGTGCTCGGCGTGCTTGTGTTCGTGGTAGTGCTGCACCATGTGCGCCCGCGCCCGCGCCCGCTCCCCGCGCCGCCGCGACGGGCACAGCGTCGCCGCCGCGCGGGACAGCACCTCCGCCGCGCGGACCAGTTGCTCGCGGACCTGCGAAGATACTATGCTGTATTTCGCACGCTCGACGTAATGTTGAAATATTGAATACAACATCACCATTTTCAAAGTTGTTTTATTATATTTTGTTGATCCTATTATTTTATCCAATTTGTTTAGATTACGTCTATTAATCTAAAATTTTGTCCTTTTATGATGTGAATTTATGAGCAAGTCACTTTGTCAAATAAATACTATTTTTTCTTTACTTTACATTGGATTAACCACGAAACTTCAAAAACTCTACGAAATGAGTAAACTAAAACTCATGAATTAGGCACTAAGTATACTACTTTTTTTTTCAATAACAATGATGCAGTTTACAACTATAATTTCCAAGAAAAGATACTATCTACAGCAGAAACTCGACAAAATCGAAGACAAGAAATGACACATATATTTTGAGTCAAAAATTGTAATTCGCAAATATATTAATGAACCTACCTGTTCAGCGGGAGTAGCTTGCAGTATGGCGCCGCCGCAAGCCTCGTCCGCGGCAGAGCACCACTCGCCACCACCGGCCTCCACACCGAAATGCACACACCTACAAAATTCAAACAGTCAAGTTTAGTAGACAATTGGGACAATAGAATCACAGCCTATTACATGAGTCGCATACCATAATGATCATCATCATCATCATCAGCCCGTTTACCATTATTTTTTTTTACTTTTGACGCAGCACCCTTTTTTCCTGTGTACATGACACAACACCCAGACCCTGAACAACAATTTGTAGGTCACACAAAGAGTTGTTCCGTACGGGAATCGAACCCACGACACGTTGCGCGGCAGCCAGTTGCCCAGGCACCGCGCCAATCGTACAACCATTCTTAAAGGTTCTCCTACACATAGTCACAGTCAAAAATATTTATTTAGAGAAAGAGCTCAGAGACTTCGAACTGAAAAGTTTGTATAGAAACCTGCGCAGCATATAGGCTCAAAAGTCATGACCTTAAGTGTGTTGTGTTCTCTATAAAGTTATATGTATTAATGTTTGTCCCGTCTTCAATTAACACAGAGTGCACATGTGTGGCGCCCCCCTGTCGCGTCAAGCCGAGCGAATGTTGTACCTCCGAGGCCTACCACAACTTACTACTGGTCAGTTAGTTATGGGATTTATTTCGGAGGAATAATTTATTAATAATGTGTACGATAAAGAAGTGACTTCTGAAAGACCCATTTAATTATTCCTGATAAAAAATTACATTGTTCTACCAATTTTGTAACAGGCCACTTCGTTACAGAGAATGAGCCTACGACAAAAAACTTGGCGAGACTGTAACGAGAGACCTATTAGGGCCTTGTTGTAGTGAGATTACTGGACGCCCAATCCTTTCCCTTCCTAATCCTTAAACCTTCACAAGGCCGTTAACTCTTTTGGTGTTGCAGGTGTATATGAGCGTCGGAGTTTGCTTACCATCAGGCAATCTACCTACTCATTTGCCGACCAATCACATAAAAAAACACGAAATCAAAAATTAACCTTTTAATCGTGTTATTTCGAAACAACGGAAGAACAGCAGGTGCGCGAAAGCAGGCGTTGGCTTGGGGGTTCATGATTTAAAAAAAAAACGGAATACTAACTTGTTAGCGTGATCAACACGGATCTGCATGTCATTGTGTCTCACGCAGTCGACGAGAAGACGTTCCAGGTGGAAGAGATCATCAGTGTTGGCCAGCTCCAGGAGGCGAGCGAACTGAATGCAGGCGTAACACTGTCCCACTTGGCGAATGAGACGGACGAGGGCTACGTCGCTTAGTGCCACGGTATATTGGGCGAGAGCCGAATCTGAAATTAAAGGTTTTGTTAAGTATATTCCCTGAAGTGGATTAAGTATAAATATTATTATTAGTAAATTCACCCCTTTTAAATCATACTAGCTTCTATCGCGCGGTTTAACTCTCTGATCAGCTCCTACAAATCGTAGAGTGATGTTTTAAAGCCTAAAAAGCCTTCCTCGATAAATGTACTAACAAACATAAAAATAATTATTCAATTCGAACCAGTGGTTTTGGAGATAAGCGCGGTCAAACAAACTCTCCAGCTTTATAATGTCAACAATGCCACTTTTCGTTGTAAAGTTATAACTCAACAATGCGTTTACCGATTTGGATAATTTTGGTCTTGAATTAATCGTGGAATTCCGGAGAAGGTTTGTACGCAGAGAAAATAAAAAAGGTACTGGTAAATCTAAGCGACAATTGTACCTTTAACATGTTAATTTGTTTAATCTAAAATAGATGAGAATTTTCTATCAAATTACTCGAAAATAATGGAACAAAACCAACTCAAAAGTTTTCGGTGTCCTTAGGCCTGGAAGAAATCGCTCTAACTCTAAGCGATAAGGTCGACTATTCTATATAATAAGTGATAAACACTTTTTTTATTTGTACAATAATAACTGTCACTTATTTATCTAAAAACATTGTCTAATATTATCTTGTTTTTTTTCTTCTTAGGACTATTAGTGAAACAAGTATTTTCCTAAAATTAATGATAATATTTGAGATAAGCTCTACTGACAAATTCGATTGACAGTCTCAGGAAGCATCTGAATCTATTGTGAGACTATTAGAATATTAATTATTTGTCCCGTCTTCAATTAACACAGAGTGCGCATGTGTGGCGCCCCCTGTCGCGTCAAGTCGAGTGTATGTTGTACCTCCGAGGCCTACCACAACTTACTACTGGACAGTTAGTTGTGGGATTTATTTCGGAGGAAAATAAAAACTTGCAAGTATGAAATTTTTCTGAAACTGTATAGGTACATGTTCCGTGTCAGTTATTAGAGATATTATTGTGATAAATTTTGTACGAGGCATAATACTGTTAATCGAAATTTTGACAAGTTCTATGGAAGATTAACACCCGGTTTCCGAAAGGCCGATCAATGTTAAAATCAATTTAATCTCTTGTCAAGTCATCTGATTGGTTCACTTGACAAGTGATTTGACACCTAGTTAGTTAATTTTGACATTGATCGGGCTTTCGGAAACCGGGCATCTACCTATAATGAAATTCATAGTCCAATCATTTATTACAATATTAGACTAGGCACTTTTGAATGATGACATTTTTGGTCAAACAAAACATTAAAAAATTAAAGAGTCCACCTGACAGTCGGTTCTCTAGTAAAATTATTATACTTCTGTTACAAATGATGTATGTTTACTAAGCAAACTGAGCATAAAATAACAGTCAGAATCATAAAATCTTTTACATTCTAATCATAGACTCATTAACCTCTCGTCGGCCGTTATATGAGACACAATAGAAAACACATTGTGTCTCGCGTAGATCTGCGCTCTGGCATATCGTGGGTTTAACACCACATTTTGTATATAAAAGAAATAGGAATACCGATCTGAAACAATTACATTTAGATATAATTATATTTACACAAGAAAATACTTACTAGGGTCCTCCTCGAGCGACTTGACGACAGACTTGACGTTGCTGCAGAGGGTCAGGGGGTCGAACTCCACCTCCAGCCAGGAGTACAGCTGCTGCAGCTGGGGCGTCGCCAGGGCCACCACGTTTAGACGCACCACGTCTGGACAAATAGAGAACAGATTAAATATTATACAAGTAGATTTTGAACTGTAAAGTCGATATTGGTACAGTTATTGGTGCTCATAAGATTTTCTTGAAAATTGATGGTTTTTTAAAAGCGTCATTTAACTCTCGTGGTTGGTGCATTTACAAACATACAATTTCATATACACAAACCCCCACACCCGGAACAACAATTTTTGGAAGACACATGTTGTTCAATGCGAAAATCAAACCCGCGACACGTTGCCCAGCCACTACGATAACTGTGCAGTTTATGCCATCATAAATTAATAGTTTTGTATATAGGTAAACGTTGTACCACACACGAATTATATTTTGTGACGTGGAGCGTTTACAAAAACATAATTTCACATAGCCAGACCCGTAACAATAGTTTGCGAAAAGCAAAACCGCGGAACGTTAAACAATTTTAGCTTTGTGTTGCTTAAAAAAGTAACTATCGTGGAGACATACACAATTTAATGAAAATAATGACTTATTTGCGAGAATTATCTGAGAAAAGCTCGCTCAGTCGGATGCGAGACTTCGCCGCGACGCGCACGCTGCTTATAATTTAAAACTAGAGCTTTTCTGAATTAATGCAATCAATAAATCATTATTTCTAATGCTGTTGTCGAGTAGTTTCAATAAAAGTTTGTCTCGTCTTTAATTAACACAGAGTGCGCATGTGTGGCGCCCCCTGTCGCGTCAAGTCGAGCGTATGTTGTACCTCCGAGGCCTACCACAACTTACTACTAGTCAGTTAGTTATGGGATTTATTTCGGAGAAAAATTTAATAAGTATCATTTTTATTTACCTGTACTATGAATTTAACAAAGATTTTGATTCTGGTTCCACAGTCATCAACTAACATTTTCAATAAAAACTGACTTTGTATATGTATCTATCATCATATCTTAGAATTGGGTAGTTTCCTAGGTCAAAAATAAATTAATTAGATGTTTCAATACAATAAAATATTGAAAAATAACTATACTTTTATTCATCGATCGATCGATACACCAAATTTTAGATTTTTTTTAGCTAATTATTGTAAAATAAGTAAGCTATTTGACACAAAAATGTTATGACGTCATAGCTCAATTTTTCATACAAATTTCATAGAAAAGTATCGTTTTTGATGTTTAGATAAAAGTATTGATTTTGACTAGTTGGAAACTACCGTATTAAGCATACCTAAAATATTGAGTATGCATATGGGTGATCATTTCGTATCGTAATATATTTCCCGTTCCTATTTTTAGCTGATTTTTCTACTTGACCCAAAGGTTGACTGGTAGAGAATGCCATATTATTATGGCATTAAGTCGGCCTTTTGTACCAAGTTCATGACATTGTGTACAATAAAGCATAAAAGATAAATCAATTTCATAAGAAATACAAGAGGGCTGTGGATTATAGTTATATGTTATGTTATAGTTATGTTATAACTCAACAATGCCTTTACGGATTTGTCTAATTTTGGTCCTGAATTATTCGTGGAAGTCCAGGGTAGGTTTAAAAGGCCAAAACAAATAGTTACATATATATTTGAGGCTGTATTAGTATTTTAATATTCTTACCTTTCAACAAGCTAGCCCTCGTTGGTGGCTGGGCAAGGCCAAGTAGCACAGCCAATCTCTGGGCTTTCTCGACGGGGCTCTTGTCAGTCTCCACGAAGCGGTCGAATTCCGGATGCAGAGACGGTAAGGGGACCGACAAAACGGCCACGAGGACGCGACAGGCCATTCTGGTAAAAGAGAAATTAAAGGAATCAATTAGTTGTAATTAGATTTTTTTTTATATTTATACTAGAGGCCCGGTACAAATGACAATCTACTAAATATTAAATAGAGAAAATGTCCCGTCTTCAATTAACACAGAGTGCGCATGTGTGGCGCCCCCTGTCGCGTCAAGCCGAGCGAATGTTGTACCTCCGACGCCTACCACAACTTACTACTGGGCAGTTAGTTATGGGATTTATTTCGGAGGAAACTATGGATGGAATTTAGGAACACACTAATACATCATCATCATCCATTGATTAATTATGGTTACTTTTTAAAGTAGATAATCAATATCAAACAAGTCATTCTGTACTAGTCTTTCAGAAAACTTGAAAGTACTAATAGATTTGAATAAAATTGACAGATATAAAATAATACATTTAGACTATAATGCTAGAGTTCGTTTGAATGTTTAAATCTCAAGAACTTAGGTTTTAATTTAACTTTTCATAGTTTAATATTTTTATTGTGTTGAACAGTCCTATATGCTCTAGAACATAATATTGCGCTCCATAGGAAACAAACTGTTGAAGAATAAAAATGTATTAAAGTCAGTAACAGAATAATATACATTAAACTTACTTCTGCAGTTCCTCTTGCGTGATATTCTTCTTCATCTCCCTGGACAGTTGGAAGAGCTTCAATAGAGCAGCGGCATGGAAAAGGCAGTGGCCAGCCTTCCAGAAGACCAGAGCCAACTTGCCATAATAGTTAGCCATGGTTTTGGCTACAGGAGTCTTCTTAGACATGTTCATCAAGTTATGGATGTCTTCAATAGCTTTGTAGGCTTCCTGTTATAGAAAAAGAGTTATTTTTTAGATATTACCTTTTAGCTACTATTTGTTTGAACAAATAATTGATGTAAGATAGATGGTTTTTATTATACTAATATGGACTTTTATAGACAGTTTCATCATCCTGCTCCAAGCCGAGAGTTCATAAAGTAAGTCCCAATTAAAAATAAAGTTGGAATATGTCATAGTAGAATATGTGTCAAAAGTCAAAAATCATTTATTCCAATTAGACCTTTACAGGCACTTTTGAACGTCAAACAAAAATTTTGAAGATGTAGTGTCTGATATGTGTATATCATAGTGTGTAGAACATACCTGCCACAATTCCATCTGGATAGCGCTGTCCAGTTGGAACAACCTGGTCTCCAGGTTCAGTTGCTGTGTCTCTGGCTTGCTAATGCTCACGTTACCAGTTTGCACCTATAACAAAAGTAGGATATTTAATAAAAAATATTTATGGGAACAAAAATGGAATTATCAGTCCAATGTAGTGGAAACTAGCCTATTTAAGGAATCAAAGCTTAACGTTTAATTTTATTTAACTTATTGAGTCATTATAATATGGAGAGATCTCCTGCTCAACATTCGTTTTAACATGTGATTTCTACTCTAGGAATTTGAAGAGGGTCAATTTGTGCCGAATTCAATTAACACAGAGTGCGCATCTGTGGCGCCCCCTGTCGCGTCAAGTCGAGCGTATGTTGTACCTCCGAGGCCTACCACAACTTACTACTGATCAGTTAGTTATGGGATTTATTTCGGAGGAATAATTAAGATTAAATCTTATTACCTTATTAATAAATAACAATTTAGAAAAGTTTTTGATATGAAATTTATTTTGGAACTTACGGTAGGCTTGCAGATATCTTCAAGATGCTTCCTCAGTTTATCACAAAGCTTCCTGAACTCAGTTTTGCGGGAATACTTGAGACAGAACTGGAACGCCATGCGAGCGATATCATGGTACAATGTCTCAACGTGAGCGTTGGTACGGAGGAGCTCCAAGCATTGGCAGTACGATTCCCATAGGAATTTTACCTGAAAAAAGAAAGAAATATTAACTAGAAGTATTGAATATTGTTTGTGTTAAATACATTAATTCTAACACAAAACGCGGCACAGTAGCTGGTCGTCGACGAACAGATCATTATGCAGCCAATTCATTCAAGGATTTCCTCCTGTGTCGTGCGTGCGTTTACAAACATACACTTTCACATACACACACACCCAGGCCCGGAACAACAAATTGTAAATCACACAACACACAAAGAGTTGTTCCGTGCGAGAATCGAACGCGCGACTCGTTGTGCAGCAGCCAGTTGCCCAGTCGAACATTGAACAAAGGCTTTTTCATAGAATGCGGCGGCAAACGAGCAGATTTTTGTCTGATAATAATCGATCGGCGTTGCCCATGTACACTTGCAACATTAAAGTTACAAGGGAATTGAGGATTTCGGGTTAGAAATTGGACAAGTAAAACAAGTTATCGAGACAATTCTTTATTCACTTACCCATGGTGTAAGGATAGTCCTATCAGATCTATCCTGAGCATCTTCTCCAGAAACAGCACTAAGCAGGATGCTCTCAGGAGTAGCAAGGTTATCCAGATCATCAGTCTCAATGACTGCTTGAGTGGACTGCTCACGAGCCGCTTCTGTGCGCTCTTCTGCCATTCGAAGGTAGCCCCTGAGAAAATAGATGGGCCATTTGAAGTAGGAACAAATAATACAATAATAGTAAAATAAATTTTGTTTTAAATTGTAATATTTATTTTTGTCTCAAATACTAGTAGAGATTAAATACTTTCCAGTACAAATTGAATGCTTTTTCATAGCTTTGTGCAGTTAATTTCTGCAGAATTTTCATAAAAGTCAACTTTACCCAAAAATCTTAGTAATTATTTGCAGAAAAGTGCAATAAGTGATGCATACTAAACCCTTACCTTATAACTTGTTCCAAAGACCCAACATTGACGGACTGAAACATGTTCCTGTATTGAAACAGGCCTTCTTTTGCAATGTGAGACTTGCGCAAGTCTACACAGAGTTCCAAATACTTGAACATGATCGGCTCCAACACCGACTCGGACCAGTTGTACGCCCATTTTTTGTTCCTGAACACTTCTTGCAAAGTATCTAAAGCTCTTGAGGGCTTGTCCAGATCCATAAACTCTGTTGAAAGAAGAAATATTTATTGTTTAGTGAAATTATTTATTTGCTTAAATTTAATACATAAAAATATGTACAGGTGGTCTTAATTAACTTGTTTGGTGGCCTTCAGCTTTGTTTAAAAGTCATCCTTGACTAATTAGGTACTTAAATAATTGTATTTACAGTTAGTTTTCGTACATTATAAGCCAGATATGATTCCATTCTTTTTAAATAAATAAATAAACCCTTCAGTACCGATTTCTTTGTAAATTAATATTATTATTCACATTACAGGTGTCCTCCTGTGTCTAACACAGATCACACATTTCATTATTTTTAGCTAGTTTCAATTACAGCCTGTTTTAAAAAGAAGTTTTACTTGTTTCTGGTACCAGTTTGATTAATAATGAAAGATAAAATATTTTCTTATTTAAGTACTATAGAAATATGAGAATGGTGTAGTTCAGTTATGTACTAGTCCCTTTTGACTTAAATGATATGGGGTTAACAAAAAAATAACATCAAATCTAGAATAGCAAAGTTGTATGTTAGAAATGTGTAACCATTTGTAGTTAATGTAAAATCATCCTTATTTACTATGCTTGGTATGCTATCAAGAAAGTGTATTTAAATTAATGTGTCTTTAATATCTTAACGCAATATTGACATTAAACATGCTAATGACTTTTTAAAGAGTAATTGTGACCCCATAGTTTTATTAAAATGTTTATTTCTTTTAAATATTTGCTATGTGCTTGTCAAAGGATGTATATTACATTCTCTTTTGTTCAGAGTGGAATAGGATAAGGTCTATTGGTTAAGGTTGTATAAAATACATACATACAGGTAAATATCTTATTGTAAGCATTATACCATACAATTTTTTGACAAAAAAAAGGTATGCCAATATTGTTTACATTTAGTTAATTACCAAAACCGATAGACCATAAGTGGTATGTGGTAAGTTCTTTTGGTCAATCTTAGGGTGAAGCAGAGTTTGGGTTAGTGGGTCGTCTTAGGGGCGGAGGGTAACAGTAGGTGTAGAAACAGTATTTCGTGTGTACAGACTACAAAAAAACAACGCTAAACTAACTACAGCTAATATTTGAAAAATAAATAGTTTGATAATATTAATTTTTGAAATCTTTTTTCCCCTTGAGTATTATGTTTACGTTTTGGCAGTTACGCTATATAATAAATCCATATGTGACTAGGTTATCTCAAAGACGTGTTACGCAAACCTACCTATGTGCACAAATTATGCGAACTCAGCAATTTGGTTATGTTTCGAAAACATCAAATGCTACACAAATATCGTCATAAATGAAGTCCTACATTGTTTACAAGTGAAAATAAAGATTATTTTTAATCCCAGGCATGTAGTATTAAGAAGTTAAGGCAAAAGCGTAAGGTCATACGCTCCTATCTAATCACACTTGCAACGTGGTATTTATTGAACATTCGGTACTCACCATTGGCCCGTTTGAGGGCATTCTCCGGTCTCTGACCGTATCTCGCCATGGTGTACACTACACTTTTCACTTCATCCACACAAATATAACGTTAGAAACGTGGTGCAGAACAATAAAATCGTAATGTTCTGTACACCGGCCTGTCAAGAGACAGGAGAAATCAAAATGGCCGAATAGGCTTGAGACTAATTTATCGATGCTTCGGACTATCGATGTTTTTATAAAAAATAATTTAATCGATTCAAAAATAATATCACTAGTTTTAATAGGTTTGAAATGTATTCGATAATTATTAATGAAAGTAGTGTGCAGCAAAAAAAATGCGATACTCTTCGATTCAATTACAAGCAAATACAACTAAAGCTCACTTTGAATGACATATTTGAGTTATCGTAATAAAATCGTAAATAATTGTTGTACAAATTTTGTATCGAAAATATCGATATTTATTTTTACTTGGGCCTCCCTATGGCCAAATCTGGTTTTTTTTTGTCAGCATCCAACGTCATAATGTCAAATTGGAAACCTAGTATTTATAGCCTCGCCGTAATAATAATGTTTCGTGCAATATAGATATTTATTTCATTTTGTCTACTGAATTACGTGTCGTCATAATATAAGTATATTCTTTGAACCATGCACAAAATAATTTACGAAGTTTTTGGAATACCTATTGTTTTAAAATGTGAATCACAACATCAGAGAGTAATTTTCTCTGTTCTTATTTATTTTGGTACCTACAATACCGTAGTATCTATATAGAATTGAAGGATTAAGTACTTTTTTTTATATTGGTCGAATAAAAGATTGATTGTTATCCGACCAATATGTATTAATATTGATGAAAATAAACATGATTGCTTAGTTTTCATATTTTTTTATTAACAAACATATAAACTATAAATACATTTTGTTTGATTGGTTAAAAAATTACCGCTTCTATGAACCTCTGCATTGGAATTTCCACTAAAACTGTGATTGGTACGGCGAGGACATAGGTGATTAAGTTCGTTGCGCACCAGTCCACCAACTGAAACAATAAAAAGATTTTCACTGACACTACAAATTCAAATACTCGTGGACAGATTTATGCACAATTTTCACTAAAGCTCTTGAGAAAGTTATGGTATCTAACCAGCCTTGACAAACAGAACTGTACATATGAAAGTGCATTACATTAGAACCAATAGATACAAATAGATCATAGCTAATATTTTTTTTCATATTTGTAATTGATAAGAAAATTAAGGTTTGTGTGAAAGCAAAATCTCGACGAATCCAACACGAACATTGGCAAATAGCACCCGGATAAAGTGGGACCGGTTACATCATACCATGTCAATCGCTGAAGTTCCGTAAGCGACCGATCTGTTAGCGATGGTCATATCGACGCACCAGTGCAGCATCATAACTGTCAAAGACATGCGGGCCATTGTTCGCCAGCCACGCCAGCTGTAGAATTTTCTTATTGGCCCTGAAATTATAAATAAATACCATCATTTTAACAAGACCACACAAAGTTTTAATGCGACAAAAAATATGGAGTAGTCCATCAGCTATAATGTATCCAAAGTTGTGATGGCCCAGAGGTTAGGGCGCCAGGTTCTCATGCATGAGGGTGGGTTCAAAACCTGGCAAGTATCAATGTGACATTATCTGAGTTATATGTATGTACTTTCTATGATTATTTAGATATTACTGAGAAACGGCGAAGGAAAATATGGTTATGAAACGTAGACTTATAATTTCTAATTATAAGTTTGAAATCGCCAATCCGCGTTGAGCAAGCGTGGTGATAATGTTCAAACCTTCCCCGTGTGAGAAGAGGCCTTTGCTCAGCAGTATTAAGAATATAAAAAATAGTTGTGAAAAATGGCTTAAACGCTATTTGAAAAAGATATTGGCCAAAAAAGGGACGAGATGGATAAATCTCTTACTAGGTTTAAAGAAGTTTAAAAGAAACTTTTCGTTCAAAAATGCAACAATAATAAAGTAATATCTTACCGTCAATATGGAAGGCTCCCAGTAAACCAATGCACATAAGAATGCAGAACATCGGTCGGTCGAACGCCATGTACAGAGCATTGAAGAGATCGGAAGAATGCGACCTCGCATATACTCCAGTTAGGGCCCATACGAATGTCACGGGGAATGTCGTGTAATGAAGGTAGACGAACCACTGTTAAACACATGGATAAACAAAATAATTAATTTTATGTCACAAATAAAGTTAAGTATATAATTAATCCTACGTTTCGATTTCCAGCAAGAAATTTGTTCGATTCTCGGTAAAAAAAATTGTTATATGTAAGGATTGCCGGTTTTCTCGAACGTTGGTAGATATTTGTAGTTTATAAGTACATGTAAGTTGGGACTCATAAAATAATTGCCAAAGAGTGACTCTTATGTTATAATGAAGGTTATTGGTGCTATTTAACAATAATTTTGTATATATAAGTATATAAATAGTTATGTATTAAGTATTAAGTAGGTATCCATATTATTTGCCCTTCCGTAACGCATCGAAAAATAACCTTGAGACGTGACCTTGCATTGTCTTATAAACAAAATTTAATTAATATTAAAGTTTTTAATCATGCGTAGAGCTGAGGTTACTCCTAGTCGGATATATGCTTTCTTCGAAATTCTCCACCCCTACAATATGTCTTGCTACTTTATATCATCCTTTTCTTGAAGCGGGAACATCATAAATTATCAAGTGTTTTCTCCCGCCTTGAGTGTGGCGACAAGGAATACCAGGCGTCTCAAAGACACAAGAGATCACCACTGTTAGACTTGCCAATAGACCACCACAGATGAAACCAGAGACTCAAAAGTCAAAGTCAAAATCATTTATTTCAATTAGACTACAGTAGGCACTTTTGAACGTGAAGCAAAAAAAAGAAAAAAAGTATTTCAAGAGCTTTAACTTTAAGCGTGTCAGTCTGTCCGTCTGTCCTCTAGTGAAGCTATTTGCTCGTTCCAAAGTGTAGAGTCCTATCGAGAAGAACGAGCAAGAAACTCCGTGGTTAGGTACCTACTCTTTTTCAATCTTTCATTATTGCACTTTACATGCAACCCTGGACCTTAAGTACAGCACACACTTACTTTATAATCAGAAAGTTTGATCTTCCTCTCGTCCAGCGCAAATTGAATATGAGCTAAAATTAAACCCAAGAAACACGCCGGCAGTGCTCCCCAAGAAGATAAGTAGAACTCAGTAAATGATGGAGTGTCTCGGAATATTCTGCGGATTTGTCTGAAAGATATCAATTAAAGTGTTTGATCGACGGGGATACATTTTGATGACGATTGATGAAAAAGAAAAATGTTTTGTATACGGTTTGTAGATTGATTCATAATATTAGGCTTATTAGGCAAAGGCTTTCAGCGTTAAGTTGATTTGAATAATCGTGTGACGATTTAGGTAAGTAGGTACTAAAAGTACCTAGGTACTTTTGACACTGACCGATGAGTAATTACGAGTCTAAACGTCCACCTTCTCCGTATGAGACAGTCTAAACCTCCCTCTCTGACAAGTAGGTAAACTTTGATTTGTTAGGTATATCTAATTATTGTTGTCGTAATATTTAATTCGTGGTGGCCCGAAGGTTAAGGAGCCCGATTCTCATGTATGAGGGTTCGAAACCTGGTAAGTACTAATGTGTCTTTTTCCGAGTTATAAGTAGGAAAGTAACTTTCTATAATTATTTAGACTCCACTGACATACGGTGAAGGTAAACATCGTGAGGAAACCTGGACTTATAATTTCTAATTATACGTTTGAAATCGCCAACCCACATTGAGCAAGCGTGGTGATTAATGCTCTAACCTTTTCCGTATATGAAGAGGCCTTTACACAGCAGTGGGCACTTATAGGCTGATGATGATGATGATGAATATTTAATCATATAAATAATAATCTGTCATCATCCTTAAAAAATGTGTATGTGACTTGACCTGACTTTACTGCACAATTCAGAGAAATATTTATAAAACTTTGTAACACTACCTTATTGTGTTCTTCGATCGAACAAAATATTAATCACAATGCCTACTTGTACTATAGGATTTCTTTGTTTTTATTCAAAAAAAAATTAAGAGGTTTTTATCTCTGATATGACAACCCCATCATACGCTTTTACAGAATTAAATCATAATGTAATTATTTTGTAACAAAGATACAAAAATATAATACTATAGGATTTCTAACTGTATTTTACAAAACAAAAACTATTAAACTCTCAATGTGTCGAAAGATAAAATATGAAAACATCATCAACATTAGTGTTCACAAAAACGTATTTTTAAGGATTCTGGCTTAAGTGATCATTTTGAGAGATCCCCTAAGTTAAGGGGACCTTAGCTATGTGACTTTTTAGGGCTGTTCGTGGAAACGGGAATAAATACCGTAAAAATAGGTACAATTACTTACTCAGGTGTGGAAAGATATATCATTGATTTGTAGTCCTTCATATACGCGACGAATCCGTTCAGAAGACAAGAAGCGAAGAAGAGTACCAAGTAAAGTCTCACTGCAAAGCACCGTCGACGCCATAGCAACAATGTGAGGGTACACGCCAGGATATACATATGCATGTTTACAGGTAAGAACCTGGAGGATTAATTTAATAATAGGTACTAATATTATACAGAGATAACATTTGTAAGTTTGTATGTTGGGCGTAATCTGTGGAACCGCTGGTCGGATTCCCAAAATTCTTTCACTGTATGTAGCTACAATGTAGTAGCTAGAGAGCAATGTAGTAGCGAGAGTAGCTAGTTGTGTTGTGTATGTGGAATTATAAGTACTTACCCAATAAACGTTTGCGGTTGACTGGTAGATAAATGCTTTGGGCATTAAGTCCTCCTTTGTATTCAAAATGTACATAAAGCGTTAAAATAAATAATATATGTTTGTAAGTGCACCCACTATACTTACAAGAGAAAATCCCAGTGTAAGAAAACGGGTTTCAAAAAAATATTCTAAGTTTCTCACCATGTTGGAACCACGCAGTATTTGTCAGAGTCAACAATGTTGTTCACCAAAAATACATGTGACCAGAACTTTGTCGTACAAGCCTCGCTCTCTAGACCTATGGTGGTGGAGACCAGGGGCCCATCTCTTGTATTCATCCACCAGGTTGCTCCAAAACCGACGATCAAAAGATGAACAGGAGTTATTCTGTAAAAAATATCTCGATCACTATTTTCAAGTAATTGTCAACAGTCCATAAATGGACTCCCCTCTCTCTCCAAAGAGAAGGTTGGAAGTCACACTTGAAAAGTTTCAGCTCGATCAGAGATCAATGCTGCCCAGTCATTGTCTATAGGTATTATGATGACCCCAAGTCAGCCCTTGCTTGCTACACTTGCAGGAAGAAAGGATTAAGAAAGAAAAAGCATTCATTTGCCGCATCATATACAAAATGACGCCAAAATAGATTTAAAAAATTTACGAAAAAGGGCAACAAAAGAAAATGTAATGTAATGTAATGCTCCAATAAATACTCGTATTCTTAACAACATTTGGCATGATTTTGTTTATTAAAAAAAAAAACTCATGCTAAAGGGCTTCCACCTAGAGCGGTAGTGCTCAATGCCGATTTAAACATGGTTAAAGGGACACTATAAGTCAGTCATAAATATATTCTATCAGTCTTCTCTACCGTGATGTAACCACACATCAAATCTAAGTCAAGAATAATTATAGTTCATAGTTACAGAAAACCGGCGTGAAAGCGTCATGTTTCGCCATGTGAGTGAGATTACCAGAGGCCCAATCCTTCCCCTCCCCAATCCTAAAATTTCCAAAAAGTCGGCGTCGCACTCGTAACTCCTGTGTTGGATGTCCATGGGCGGCGTTGATTGCTTACTATCAGGTTATCCGTCTGACCATCTGCCGTCCTATCGCACAAAAAAGGTTGTTTGTAATAAACGTAACTGCAAAGAAATCTTTCCATGAAGACAACAAGAAACAAATGAAGTTTAAATACACAATTACACACGCGAGTAACCCGCGATTTTTAGTTAAACAAATGAAGTCTTATTTTTTTTATTAAGCCTTAAGCTAAATGGTGCTTCTCTCACCTTATAAGTCTTTTAATGATACAAAGCGGCAGCATGTGCAAGCCCAGCTCCTGTTTCTGGGAGTAAATCAGCAGGTTGTACCCGGTGAGGAAGCAGGTCATCATCACGAATGCTTGTATCAGGGACGTGCCGTCTGACAGGTACACTCCGTCCACTCTTTGGGTTAACTGTATAAAGAATGAAAAAAAATAATGGCATTTTAGAGAAACTTTTTCAACTGGTTACTTTTTATCAACATACCACGCGGGCGTGGCTAGTATATTAATAAGCATTTTCTAATAGATAGAACAGCAAACAAGCAGACGGATTATTTATTCACATAACGGCAACTGCAACACCATAGAAGTACAGGGGTTGGCCTTTTGGGGGTTGTCAAGCATTTGAGAATTTGGCATAAGAGGAAAAAATTGGGCCTTCAGCAACCACACTCACAGAGCGAATTGAGCGAAACAACACACAAGCGCAAGTCGAGTCAGTTTATTCGTGCCGAACCTGGCTTCTCACACAGTCTACCTTGAGCAAGCATCATAGGGTCTTTGCTCAGCAGTAGGATAACCATAGAGTGGTGAAGATGATGATGACTTGAGACTTGTGACTTGTGTGTTGGTGGTGGTAGGTGGTGTGGTAAGCGGCGCTGACCAGGTGACATATGTACGTTTGCACATAAAAACTGTTACGGTAAGTTTAACCACAATTTTTCATTGTTTATACTTACTTGTTTGACAAATACATTGTGTATAATAAGGTACCTAATCTATATATATCTAATAGATTTAACTTACCCCCTCCAAATATTCTGGATTTTTGATGTGGAACATGTAATGTATGACGTTTGCGTGAGCGTATGTCGTGAATCCAAGCGCCATCACCCTAAAAACGGATTTTGTAATCAGTAAAAACTTACATGAATTAACTAAAAATCGCGGGTTACTCACGTGTATAAATTGAGAAAAGCTCTACTAGTTTCGAACCACAGAGGGGTTCGACCTCATGAGCAGCGTGACGCGGACGCGGCGACGTCGCGCAGCCTACTAGGTAGGCAATTTATACACGTGAGTAACCCGCTATTTTAGTTAATTTAGTATGTCTCACGATAGTTATTATAAAAACTTACATGAGTGCTTAAAATATCAGTATCGTTAAGTCTCTTTAAGGCAAAACACTTTCCCTAGCTAAAAATGTTAATTTGACGTCATATATGTAAAGAATTTTATCATAAAAACATTCAATTCGAAAGGGAATTACATGTACCTATCAATGCTCGGTCTGTGCCAAACGTTTATTAATGTTAAAGTAACTTCGGCAATATGGCCGATTAGGGACTCTTTATTTATTTTTTGAAGGACGAAATATTAATATTGTTATCTATTTCATGTGACTGACTAAAATCCATCCCATTCCTTCTCCTGATCAGGACTGGGGCAATACATTGCCGCAACCACAGCTGAACTTGTTCCTGGACGAGAATCTACAGTTACAGGATAGAACGAAAGATTTCAAAGTTGCAAAGACTTTACATGGTTGGCGCGGTGGCTGGGCAACCGGATACATGTATGTTTGTAAAAGCACTCCCGACGTAAAAGACAATTCAGCCTAGCAATCTAGAATAAAATAATGTTTTAAACAGAGATGAATACCTTAGACCCTCCATGGGCACCAAGGCAGCTTGTCGAGGATCTCCACCTTCACGGATGAACGTAAGCCGACGCCAATTGGCTGGTATGGAGAACGCAGATAGAAGCTTGCTTTCTATAAGTTTAAAAGTATTACAGTACAGTAATGATTAAAATTTTGCATTGAATTATCAAATTAAATAATGTCTATAAGAACTAATTTGGAAGTAGTCAGAAATAGTAACCGCGCCGCGGTGTCTGTGAAGCTATGCTCTGAAGTTAAGGCTCCCGCTTCTCAAACTCTTTACTAAGCCCAATATCTTTTGAAGTTCATTAAGACACCACTGATATATGGAAAACATCGTGAGAAATAAATAAAGTTGAAATCACCAATTCGTCAATTTTCCGTTTGAGAGAGGCATTATCTTGGTAGTGGGCTTATAGACTGATGATGATAAGTCACAAGTGAAATGTGAAAAATTTACAAAACAAGAAACAACAATAAATATAACTTACTGTTAGGATTATCTCCAGCATAGTTATCATAAATAGTCCCCACAATGTTAGCAATTACCAAGGCATATACCACATTTTTGAATATCACTTCTGCAGAAGTTGGAGGTCTTTCAGATGCTTCGATGATGTCGGCATGAGTTCGGCAGTAGTCCAAAGATTGTAGGGAAGCGTGGAAGTTTTCATTTTGCATATAGAAATCCGTACATCTTTCGAAGAGTTCCTCAGGGTCTTTTCCTAGGTCCAGCGTAGTTTGGAAGCGTGCTAATGCAGTTGAGGAACATCTGTCGCTCAAACAGAAACCGCGATAAATCTTCGTTCGATTAAAATGACGATATGATTCATCTGAATAAGCCTGAAATTCAATCAAGAATTATATATTTAGTTGTCTTTTTATTAATTATTTGTCATTTAATTGTAGGCTAAGCAAGGAAAGCCTTGCGGTGGTTTTAGCAGACTCAGTTTTATTATGGGGCATATAGTATGACATCACAATAATAATAGCACAATTCATTGATGGTTGTCCAGCCGGGGTTGCGGGTGCAAACGTTCAAGAATATCCTGCGGCCCCGGCTCGTACCAGGTAAAGGTACGGGGTTGTTTTTGTTTGGCACTCATTCTTGCTCAATCCGGGGCTAGAGAAGTCGTTTTGTGATTTACCAATCAAAGAAAAGATGATTTCTAGTAACTAGCCCATGATAGTGACACACAATCATAGAGTATTTTTTGTCAAAGACACAGTACTGTGTGTGTCTTAGATACTTATATTGGTTTTAATATCAGCACTTTAATAATATAGCAATGATATGTCTGATTTTTGTTTATATTAAATTAAAATAAAATTCAGTGGGCACTCACCTTCATTAAATCGTAAGTAGCGTGTGGTAGTTTTGCCGGTGTTAGGTCAAAGGTGCCAAGACAATATACTCCATCCTCCTTCGCTAGACATCGCTCGTAGTCATCCAGATGAAATAATTTAGGAAAACTTGATGTTTCTGCATCTAAAAGAAATTTATGGCGATGATTTTTTCGCCATTGTTTAGTCTGAATCTATTTTCAAAATCTTTGTACTCTCTTCTTTTAATCGCCGAATGGATAGAATGGCTTAACCAATTCTGTTATTGACCCAGTCTCCGTTATGTAGTCAAAATCAAAGATAAAATCAAAATAATTTATTTCAATTGGGCACTTTTGAACGTCGAACAAAAAAATATAAAGTGTCAGTCTGTCGGAGTTTTTCTTTCTTTCTTTCAAAAAAATGCGAAAGTAACTCTGTCTGTCTTTCTTTTCTTCACGCCTAAACTACTGAACCGATTTCTGTGATATTTGGTACAGACATATGTAGTTTGGAACTCCAGAAATGACATAGGATAGTTTTTATACCAAAAATCTACAGACAATCACTATGCCTGGCGATCGAAGTCGCGAGCAAAAGCTAGTAGAACATAAGGTAAGACAACCCTTCATCATTTTTGGGGCATTAGAAAGAATTATTGATGAATGTTTTTATATTACTTATAATCTGTGGTTTTTTTCGGTAAAAGCAAGAAAACTGGGATTGTAAAGTAGGTAAAGGTAATAATAATAATTCTTATTTACCTGTAAACTCCCTCGCTGATACAAATGACACAAACAGCAGTAAATACAGAGTTGTTGTCGCCATCACTACTTCGACATTAAATGAAGCATTCGTACGTAATACAATTCGGGAGGTTACTCCTACATAATTTATAATAAATAATTTATTTTTCGTGTTTTTGTACGATTAATTGATTTGTAATGTATATTAATGTGTTTGTGTATTGTTTGTTCCCGTTAATTAAGTGCCAAGGTTCGAGATTGTTGTACCTTTTTAGCAGAAAATTATAAAATTAATTGCTTGATTTGGTTTTGTACTCAAAAAGAGTAAAGATCCTTTTGTCACTACTGGATTGTTTTCATTCTCACGATGGTCAAAAAGAGAATTATGGCTTAGAAAACAGATTAAGGTACCTATACCTCTTTTTTGAGATAGTAAGGTAAATCGGCGCCGTGGATATCCGTAATGCCAAAGGAGTTATGAGTGCGTTGCCGGGCCTTTGGGGATAAGGGTTTCGGATATTTAAGGATTGGGAACGGATGGGGGAGGGGCAGTGATAACCTCCGGTAACCTCATTCACAGAGCGAAACACAACGATGTGGTTGTTTCCAGCCAGCGAATGATTTATCCCGTTTTGAATGGGGCGAGTAGAAGTGTCAGACTCTTAGTAACTCAGCCGGGGTTGCGGGGTAAGCGCAACGAGGCACCGCGACCTCGGCCCAGAGCAGGAGAAGGAACGGGGGGTTTTTAGTCCGTAAGAGTCTGACACTCCCTCCCGTCCTACCCTGGGCAGGAGAAGTCATTTTCCCCTCACAAAAAATACTCTTAGTAATTAGAAACCAACCCTGTTCCTTCTTGTAATATGTGGCACAGAGCGCCGTGGTATTTTTCAGTCGAATGGAGGAGAGTTCGAAAATGCAAATTAAACGATAAAAAAAACATTTGTGTGGAATCTATACTAATATTATAAAGTTATAGTTATTTATAGTATTTGTAAGTTTGTATGTAGAGGGTAATCTTTGGAACCGCTGGTCGGATTTCGGTCGTATTTAAAAGAGTAGCTAGTACACATATGTATACTACTAGCTACTATCGCGCGGTTCCACCCGCTCCATTTGATCGTAGCGTGATGTTTTATAGCCTATAGCACTCAGGAACATTGTAGTTATCAGTGAAAGAATTTTGGCAATCCGACCGCAGAGGTTCCAAAGATTACCCCCTACATACAAAACTTCTTTATAATATTAGTATAGATGTACAGATTTGACCTCTACAGATTTATTATAAGTAATAGAATAAGGTTGCCAGAACTTATAACTTATGTTGTGGTGCGCTAAAAATCAATAATTAATAGATTGTTGAGTTGTTGCTGTAAGTTTACCTCAAAAACCTGTTTTTATTTTATTTCAATCCAATGCTATCAATGCGTAAGCAACTCTGTCTATCTGTCTGTCTCTCCGTGGGAATTCAAAAGGAGAACATAAAATAAAATAATTTATTCCTTTGCAAATTGCAATTATTTATTATGGTTTCTTGGACTTGGACTTTAAATGTGGTTATGTAACTGTGGCTTGGTGTTCTGTCGTACACTCAAGTAGGGGTAATAAATGATTAGGAATTCTTCTTTGATACACAAACGAATAGCAAAATGTGTTGGTAAGCGCATAACTCAAAAACGCCTGGACCAATTTTGCCAATTCTTATTTTGTTGTGTTCGTCATTCTCAGGAGAAGGTTTTTATCATATTATAAAAGGAATGGAAACTAATGGGATCTGGAAAACGAAGCAGGGATGAGCGGCTATAGTAGTTAAATAAAAACCGCAGTTCGATGTTTAGTAATAGTTTTGTATTTACAATCCGTACCACCATAAATTTTCTGGAGTCCAATGCCCGAACTTTAGTCTGCCACCAGTCGGCCACCATGGGGTAGTGTGCTGTGAAGACTTGAAAGGATTCGGGATATTCCTCGGTGACTCTTCTTTACCGTATATACCAACTTCAATCGTTGCCGAAAAAGAGAAAATGAATCGGACCTCGACAAACGCTGTCGTCTTGAAATAAACGAAGCAGGTCATTCTGTAAGTAGGAACAATAATTTAATTATTATCGATTCTCTTTGACTTTGCACAGATTCAATGCCGAGAAGATTCCGGCGACTCGTGCTGGAAAAAGTAGGATCGCGGTCCCATTCGCAGGATCCGTAAAAATAATTTTCTTCCAGCGACTAAGACCACATTTTCCTCGTAAAATAATTTTATGTATGTACCTAGGTAAGTACCTACTAGTAGGTACTTAAGTAAAATTATTTTTATAGTCTCACCGTCCAGTTTTCAGATAATTTAAAAAAAGATCATTTTTGGAAGGATTATTGACGAATTTATACAATCAAAAACAGCTAAATTAATACCTATTTCCTACTCGACATATCAAACATGTTCCTACTTCATTTTACATTTAAAATTGCGTGGTTATTGTTAAAACCACACCGTCACGCGTCCGTTCACTGCGCGGTACAACCGTGAGTACTTGCACCGCGACTGCAACCCACATCGAGGCGCGTAGGTACAGGGCGCGTTTCGTCCCTTTGTATGAAGTTGGGATACCTACTGTATGTATAATAATATTCCCGCGCCTCAATGCTGACGAATACCTACTATTTCTCACTGTATCTTTAAAAAAAAACCTGATATACGCCCGGTTTTTTTCAGGAAAATTTTAGTATCAGCTTTGCACCCGAGCAAACCCGGGGCGGGTCGCTAGTTAGCATGTTCACTCACCTCTGTCTTTCCCCCCCTCGGTCCTGGTTGTAAGCAAGTCCCATGACGTCAGGGTGACAGTTGTGCTCCAACCAAATGGCAGCATTCGTTCTCTCTTTACAATCTATTGTTATTTCGACGCACTTGAAATTTGCTATCTGACTTATCATAACCTAGAAAACAAATGCATTTTGTAATTACCTAAGTAGGTTTTTTGTGAGGAGATAATCATCGTCTTCTCCTGCCCAGGGTCGGGCGGGAGGGAGTATCAGACTTTTACTGACAAAAGACGGGCGTCTTTTGTCAGTCCGTTCCTTCTCCTGCTCTGGGCCGAGGCCGCAGTGCCTCATTACGCTTGCCCCGCAACCCCGGCTGAACATCAGCCCTATATAGGACGACGACACTGGTGGACTATCGGCTCTTTGAGCCGCTCGCTGAACGCTACGCGATGTTTTATAGCCTACAGCACTCAGGAACATTGTAGCTATCTATCAATGAAAGAATTTTGCAAATCCGATCCGATTACTCCCTACATACAAACTTACAAACATACAAACTTACAAATTTTACCTCTTTATAATATTATAATGTATAGATATATAGATTGAAAAATCGGCACTTATAATATATCTTAGCCCAAGATTCAATATTAAGTAGGTACCTATAAAATGAAATCTATAACAATATAAAATAGCTAAGCTGAAGAAGTCATAGCAACTATTGTTTTTTTTAACGCGCTTATGTCCGGAACTACTGACTAGAATTGAGCAATTCTGTTTCGGGTTTGGTAGTTCATTTGTCGAGGAAGGCTATTGGCTAATTTGGCTAAAGTATCTTGTGACGACCAATAGGGGCCGAGCACCGGGGTTAGGTAGTCACGAATATTTATTATGCTTGGGCCACACTATAGTTTGGCCGTTCAGAGAATGCGTTCCTGACACGTCGCGATTGAACTGACGACGTAACTTTGTAATGGCGTTGCAGTTACGATAAAAATATTTTTGCACTTTGTTTACCGTTTTAACAATTGATGAGCATTAAAACAACATTATTATATCAATACAATAAATTTTATAATTTTGTGCCAAACTGAGTGTCAAATAACTTGGTAAACAATATTTTTCTAAATCTATACTGCGCTATTATAAGGTTATGTCAGCGCTTTATATTTGTAGTGCTGTGCTAACAATAACAGGCAATAACAGTATCGTAATCTGTTCTTATACAGTTATACTTAATAAAATAACACGTTTTGTTTTTCATTTTAAGAATTGAAAAATTGATTATGGAACATTTTGACCGAGATACCAGGATGGATTTTGTAATTGATAATAATATAAATATACATGTAGGCGAAGATGATGATGAAGACACCACCTCCTCGAGCGAATCGGAGTCTGATTAATATTCTGTACGCACGTTCAATTCAATGTACTTTATTGCATAGAAATAAAGATTGTAACTTTGTAGGTAACAAAGAATAAATAAAACAATTTTATTCAATGACGTATTATATATAGACACGTCATGAACCAACATCGCGGCGCTTAAAAACGGCGAAAATACTAGATAACTACTTCTACGAGTAAAGAAAAGGAAAGAAAATATGACATCGTATAGTGGAATGCCTTTGCTAGAGGGAGATAAATATACATCTTCAGTTATGCCGACGTCACGTGACTATACCTTCATGCGCCGGCCGCAATAAGATGGCGGGCGCCGGCGTCGAAAAAAATAAAATAAAAATAGGTTGTTTGGTGAACTTACGCATGAAATGACACATTTTTGTCTTTAACTTTTGTAGTATAATTTGTACAACGTCTGAACACACACGACGACATGCTTTCTTTATGTTTCGCACAGGTTTACACACGATATAAATTAAAAACAAACGTAGCGTCGCGCGGCAGGTTGGTGCGTAACTAAGCGCGATGTTGTCAATTGCCTTCATTTCATGTTGTCATTTTAGAGCGCGGACAAAGTATCTATAGTTTTATACATCATTGATTTTATTATATTAATATTACCTTTTTTGGTTTCCACTTAAATTACTAAAATATAAATTTTAAATGATTCCGAAAATTTAAAACGTAAGTAATCTTAAAAATAACGCGGCTTCATTTTGGTGGAACGGTAACGAACTCAGTGTTATGTTGTGCCCATCACTAGTCGTGACTAACTGATAGGTGTCAGGAACGCATTCTCTGAACGGCCGAACCATAACAGGAAATGCTAATAACCATCGCGATAATTGACGATATTAAACAATGAAAAATATACCTTAAATCATTTGTTTAGTGATCAAATTACACCTGCGTACGATTAACGTCCAT